TGATTCAATCAGGCTATAAGTACAGTCGTTTGCAAAGTTAAATGAATCAGCTTTTTAAACGAATCGGTTGATTCAGCTCACTCATTAAGACAGTCACTTGTTGCTACCTACTGGCGGTTGTAGTTTCATATTTAAAAAAAGTAGCTTATTTCATTTCAAGCATATGTTTGTGTATTTTGTTTTACTCCATAATGGTGTTCTATTTGAGGGCATTTGTAGTGTAGGTATAGGGCCCAAACATAACCTCAAGCCCAGGGGCCCCCGCCCCCCTAAGTCCTGCCCTGGTTATAAGACTCAGACAGAACACCCACAGACCGCCCACAGTCTGTTCACTGAAGGTCTGATTTATTGCCAACAAAAAATGCAAGAACTGCCTGAAATTGCCAGGTACAATCTGATTGGATGCCGTTACGCCATTAATGGGAGTCTGGATTTTAAAAAGACTAGTAGTAGGCTATCAAATCTTTGAAGGTATAGAGCAGAAATTTGTAATTAGAATCAAAAAGCGGTCAAATGATCTGTAATTATTACTTTTGGATACTATGTAATTCCATGATATTATGCTAGTAGCCTATGTTATTCCATGTGGCAGTAGCATTCTAGTATGAATTATGCTAGTATGCTATATATGGTAGCATGCTATTCCATATGGCAGAAATAAGATTAGCGTGCTTGTATGCTATATATGGTAATACATATGCTATGTTATGTTATGCTATATATTCTATGCTATTCCATATAGTAGAAATAGTTAGAGTTGCATGCTATGTAACATATTCCAGTATACATATGTTATATAATGCTAGTATACTATTCCATATGGCAGAAATAGTACGAGTAGTATGCTAATATGCTTTATATGCTAGTATATGCTATATTCTACTATATAATAGTATGCTATTCCATATGGCAGAATTAGTAGCAAAAGAGTAGCATGCTAGTATTCTAGTATTTTGTCTGTAATGGTGTGTATTGGCTTCGGATTTTCCTGTGCGATTTCTCACCTTTGATATAACAATTTTTGACTCATCATCCAAAAACCATATTAATAGAGTACAAACCTGAGGGAACAGATAAGACTCAATACAAACTACTAAGTAATGAGGGATTTTCTGATGCTAACAGACTTAAAAGCCATTTCCACACTTTTAATATTTTTGATTTGATAAATTATAAAGCATGACTTTGCTAATAGGACAGCTGTGTGTTTACATTGGACCAGGGAGCTCATGTTCAGATGATTTCAGTGGCTGTGTGAACCTTCAGATCCACGGCTTGTTAAACACTCTGGGAGTCTGTTGAGGATGTGTGCTGAGGGGAGAGAGCTCAAGAGCTTGTATCTTGAGCTAAACACACCACTTTGTTGTGAAATAAGCAGCGATTCATGTTTTATTTACAAGGTGATGTTTTATTAATGCTGTGTTGGATTGGTAAGGCTGGCTGGATGTTAGATGTAATACCTTTTGATTAAAAATAAATAAATAAAAATAACAGGACACGGCAGATAGCTAACGGTTATGGTCTGTGGTAGTGAACTTTGAAATAAGAATGGTCATATTGTCATCATAGTCATGTAGGTTTCTAGCATGGGCATGCTGGTGTTTGATATGGTAATCTGGAATTAGCATTAGCACTTGAATGAAACACTGTTTATCTCTCTTCACTGCTTGCTCAGCATGGGCAACTTTTGATTGGTAGGAAACTTACCATTCACTAAACATTTACTCAAAAACTTGCTGTCTTCTTGTTGATCAATGTGTGACCTCGAATATATGGCTGTTAGGAATGTCGGCCAAATTTACTACGCCACCCCCACTTTCTAGGGTAAGGGACCCTAACAATAGCTATGCACTGTAAATGTACAGCATTGATGTCATGTTTTTCTTTCAGAGTGGCTTCAGAGTGATTCGTCTTGGTCTGATTTAAATCAGTATTACTGGATAAAACAGAGGCTTTGAAGGGTTCTGTGCATAAAGCATGAAACACATTTCACATAATTAATGTCAAATTTTGAACACCTATGACACTTGCTCAGTAGCTGGTATTAGCTCAGATCACTTCATGTCTTCTTTATATGGTTTGTGATGTTCTCTCATCTCTCACTGCCTTTCGCCTTCTAAGAGCTGAATCTTGGTTTCTATAGCAACTAAAATGGCATGCAGATAAAACAAGGACCTCACTCTGATCATCAGGTGTCTTAGAAGGTAGCTGTATGGTTTTTGTGTATGCAGTGGTGCCATAAGACACCATTTTGAACCATATGTCAGGGCCCGTCCACATTTGGTGATGTCATTCAGATGCTGTAACCTTACCAGCATTCATTAAAGCTCATAAAATTCTAATCAATATTCTAATCAAGCTGCCCAGCTAAGATTATTACTCAACTGTTCTCTGCATGGTTCTGTAAGAACCTCCTTATGGACTAAATAAAGCTTAAAGTAAAAGTTTCCTTGGTGCTGTATGTGCGGTGAGCATTTTCCATAAATGCATTATGTCTACATTCTTCTCATGGCCTGTTTTTCTTTCTCAGGTGTTCTGCTGATTCTGTCTGTGCCAGTTGGGCTGGTGTTCTCTGCAGAGGAGCTTCACCCCAGCCAAACCCCTCGGGACCTTGTCTCCATGTCAACGAGAAGCAGAACCCTCGCCATCCTCTCACCGGGGGCCTTGAGCTGGCAGGAGGGTTCCAGCACTGGGGATCTGCACATCCAGTCACTGGCCTCTCTAGAAGCCATCAGTAGACCCACTACTGTCCACTCATTCCAGACACAGAAGAACACTGTTCCATCTGCCATATTTCAAACAACAACAGTAGGGGTGCATTCTTTTGGTCCCAGGGATCAGGCACTACTTAGATCTCCTCTTCCAGAAGCAGAAGCACCCCAACTGACCTCTAGAAGTATGTTCAATAGAACAAGCTCTGGGGTTTTCACCACTAAAACCCAAGACCAGAACTTTAGCACTAATATCGACAAGCCGAGTACAATCAGCAGAAAGCCAGTGAACCATTTGGAGGCCTCAGGTGTGGTCAGTAGAAATCAGATCGGCGCTACTGGGTTGGACAGTGGAAACCAAGCCACAAATTCTGGCTCAAATCATTCTTTTCTCTCAAGGACTGAAAGTGACATGGCCCTTGGTGCCGAGGGCCTTTCGGGGACCACAGACACTGGAGAGATGGGAGTGAAGGAGCCCATTGATCCCATTCAACATCCACCATCATCTTCATTGTCTTCAACCTTCAAAACCCACAAAAGGCAGAACACGGATAAGGTGGCTTCGCACCACACCATTACATTGCGTGACGTGTCTTCAACAGAGAATCCCACTCTCCCATTGGGAACGGTGGGAAAAGCTTTGGCACAAACTGACATCCAGTCTCCTCCCCCAGCTCTAGCCCTGCCTTCCAACCATGTTACAAAATCTGATCCCACTTCTTCAGCGGAGAGTGGAAACTTTTTGGAAATCCAAGATGACAGGGATGAAACCACCAATATGACCACTGGTTCTCTTGTCTCTTTAAAAGATGCCACAGATGTTATCAACAGCACTGATGCCTCATGGCCTGCAGCAAATGATTCAGACATCTCAGAGGCACTCTCCACAGCTAGCGGGAGCTTCATGAACAGGCAGGTCCCAGCCACCACTCAAGGCGCGTGGGGGTCTGGGAACCAGTCGGGTCCTGTGCTGGGTCCCCCTCATGAAAAAAACACCATCTGCCTGGACAAAATGGACATTGTGTGGTTGGTTCTTGCCATTAGCGTGCCTGTCTCCTCATGCTGTGAGTAACCAATATCACACTTCCTCCAGCTTTCAAAACTTGTACTTTCTGTCATCAGAACTGACAGGAACTTTTCCAAAGTCACAATATAACATTATATTCCCTTTGTGGCTTAGTGGCATTTGCTTACAACTTTCTGAAATACATCATACAAAATTCAGAAGTGATTAATGTGGTCTTAGGGCTACAATGAAGAAGAATTAGATATAGAATATTAATATGTCTTCGTCTCTTCAGCCGTGCTGCTTACCGTATGCTGTATGAGGAAAAAGAAGAAGTCTGCTACTCAGGAGAACAACTTGAGCTACTGGAATGATGCCATCACCATGGATTACTTCACCCGCCATGCTGTGGAGCTCCCATGCGAGATACAATCACTGGAGACTGAGGTACTGACAGAGACCTGGAAGACACTTTAGCCACTGCTTTTTGTCTCTTTAAAAGTAGCAATGTAGCGTAAGTAGCGTCAGATTTCTTATGTATTGTGATGTACATTAGGGCTGTGCAATATATCGAAATTATCGAAATATCGCGAATGTATATATCACAATATGCATATCACCACAGCTTGCAATATTTGGGGCCATGAACAAAAGACAAAGAGAAAATCACTCACTGCTCTTACTATTATTTAATGAGTTATCGCATATCACATTTTTTTTCAATATCGCACAGCCCTAATGTACATCATATTGAAACAGACTATCTAGAAGAAAAATGTAGGACAGAGACATGGTTCAATGTAATGGTTGTTAATTGGATGGAGGTGGATCTGAATGCAAACTTGTAGTCGATTGTAAGAAAGGGATGGGTTTAAGCAAACTAAATCACAGGAGAAGTCCAGCGTACGCAACCAGAGAGAAGTCTGTCTTTTCACCAGAAGATTGCATTATGATATTTTAATCAAAAATTATTAGGTCAAAAAAAGTAACATAAACATCCCTTACCAAAAAGTAGTATACTTCAAGTTCATTTTATTAAGTATACTTAAGTAAAATTCAAGTATATGTTTAGGTATACTTTATGTAGTAAGTATTAGTATTAGTGTATTAGTAGTATACTTGTAAGTGTACTATTTCAGTACTCCTTGGGACTAAATTGGCCCACTTTCTAGTATATAAAAGTATACTTTTCTAAGTATACTTTAAGTATAACAGTTGAGAAGTACATAAAAAGTAGACTAAAAGTATACTTTCCTATTTCAATTTAAAAGAAGTATACTAATAGCATACTTGAATAAACTTATTTTTCATAAGGGATGGATGAATCGTTTACAATAAGACCAATAATATGCATTTAGAAAACTTTCATTACATGTCAACTTTAAGTTCCCAGGGCTCAAACCACACCCCAGAATGTTACCTACATGTCTAGTGTTTAATGTCTGCCCTCCAATCTGCGGAGCCATGGTGCTTCGGGGTTGATATGAGGTCAAAGCCAGCTCGCAATATTCTTGATCCTGTTTCTCCGTCTTTTCTCCATCATTTCACTTTGTCTCTATTCTGTCCCTTCTGTAGAGATTTTTCGCAATTTTGAGTCATGTTCTTCGCCATTCACAGTAATTAACCTTCGAATTAACTCCATGCTTTTGTGAACAGAAAAGGCTGTGCTATTCATATGATTTACTCTACGAATCGTGAACTGAATAAGATATCTGGCTGAATGACAAATATTCATAGCTTTTTCATTGCTCGGGTATCATTATGAAATGAACAGTAATCATTGCAATCAAGACAATGCGTGCTTGAAAAAAATCACTTAGTGGTAACTGCAAGGTCTGTAGCATGATTTATCATTCATGTTATATATCGCCACCTGGTGATCAGAGACCATAACTCTCACTCTCTCTTTCTCACAATTTTCCAGTCATTTTTTCCCACATCTATTTTGTGATATTACCATCATACTTTCTTTGACATTTTCCATTTCAACCTCTGCATGCTTCTTTTTTCCCCCCACCTTTTTGTTCTTGCTTGCTGACATTTTCTGACAGGAGTGTGATGATGATGATGATGATGATGATGATGAAGAATCATGTTTGGGATGCCGGTGACCCACAGGTTTTCAAATCACCCTTTAGTTCTCTTAGAGAAGCAACAGAGACATACATTCCCTTCCTATTTATTTCTCTCTATCATTTTTTTTTTCAGTTGACTTTTATCCTATCCTACTAAATTGTGTTTTTAGACAGATAGATTCATGGAAAGTTGGATAGATAGGTTCATTTTAATGTTTGAATAAGAATTTCCATTTAATATGTGTGACCAAACACAAAACATCTTAGAATTTAGAGCCTTTTAATTAGCTGTCTTCCTGCACAGGTGCAATTTACCCTGCTTCTTCCTTCATTTCCTCCCATTCATTCATACACGCAGTCTCTATGGTGATAGAGCTCAATCACTACACCATAGAAATGCATATTTGTTCTATAAGAACATAGATCCTGAGAAGGATACCTGTTCCTTTCACCTTAACTGTATTTAGCTTTGTAGGATCAGACACCTTTATTAGTCTTAAGTTAGCATGAATGCAAGTATACTGTGCTAATGTTCTCATGTTTCTTTGTGTTTTAGGAACAAGAGACGTGTCTGCCCCCTAACGGTGACTACAGCGACAGCGGCGTGGTTCTGGTTAACCCCTTTTGCCAAGAGACTCTCTTTATCAACAGAGACAAGGCTTCTGATATCTAAACACACTATTAAAAAGAGACAAAATCCTTGAGGATTTTCCAGTCCCTTTTATTTGCTTTCATTTTTTAAGAATATACAAATATAAATAAAAATATATATATATATATATACATATATGTGGTGGACCTTCAGAGACTGCGGTTTATATATGAAACTGGTTTCAAGGATCTGAAAGAATATTACAAAAAAGAACAAAAATTTACAATAAGGGGGAGCCCCTGCATATTTTTTTGATGTGGGTTTTCTACAGACGCTTCATTGTGATAAGGGTTTTTATGTCTTTTTTGAATAAAAACAATAAGTGTGGTTGCTCTTATGTCCCAGTGGCTTTGGTGGTGCCGAGTGCTGAGAAACATGACGCGTGGTGTAAGGATGCTTGTGTGACGTTACCCAAAACACTTAATATGATTACTTAAAAAAGCCTGCCGCACTTGAATTCTGTATGTAAGGGGATGCAGGGGAAAAGGGCATTGATTCTGGAATGTTTCTGGAATGGGTCCAGTGGGTACTGCAGCAACCCTCGCTTCCCTCTTGGAGGAACTTGAGTTGATTGCCTGTTTGCATTTTATGGAGGACTAATCAAGACTTTCTGAGATGGTTTGTCCCCAGCTGAGTCACCAGCCAAAAGACAAAATGACAATTGTCCCATTCCTTAGATGTTCAAGATGTTTTCGTGTGTGTATATGTCTTGTTGCATGCATCTTTTCTGATTTGAGGTGTATGTGTGTCTTTAGACTAGATGTCAAACAGGATTTTGTTTCTCTCAAGATTTCGTTGTTACAAACATCCTAAAATTCCATTCATGTTGACACAGTTGCACAAGCAAGTAGAAAAAACAAATGCTTAAATTCCAATGAAATGCCTCATACAAAGCCCTTTGCATGGTAATGTTACTGTGCTCCACATTTCACATCATATCTGTTCATGTTGTACTTGTTTGTGTTCAACTTCCATTAGCAGGGCTAAGCATTATACTGTATAACTAGTGGAAATGCATTTTTTATTTTTATTTTATTAAACCACTATATTTGTTTATTCGCTATGTCATGCTCTGATGAAAATGGCACTACTATTGCTTCACAGGTTGGCTATATATATATATATATATATATATATAGTTAGAAGACATGTTTTTCTTAGTGAAGGGTGAATGAGTGTGCTTGTGGTTCTGTCTGTCTATCTTTGTCCCTTATGTGAACATTGATGAGAATAAATGAGACCAAACTGAATTTCTCTTTGATTCTCAGTGCTTACTGCTGTATTGTACAGTTTTTTAGATGAATGTCAATGATATCACTGGATGTAATAGAGTGTAATTGTTAGATATAAATACATACAGAGAAACTATTTTATTTTGTACTTTTTTTGAACACATGCCTGAGGTTGGTAATATGTTTTAAGACCATATCATTATCTTTTCTTTACATATCCCATTTTTTTCTGTATGCTTCACAGATTTTATAGAAATATTATTTTAAATTAATTTTGATTAAATGTTTTCCTTTTCCTCTTTTTTCTATTGTTTCCGTCCATTTATTTTGTGCTGGCATGAGTTTTAGATATGTAAGGAGAGGGAGGTAATTGCTCAGCTGACAGAAAAAAAATTGCTCTTGCATATTATGAGTCATGTCTACTCTTTTGTAGCACATAAACTACTTTTTACTGCTGAGCAATACAAATAAAAAGGCTTTGAAGGCTTCTTCAGTCTTTAGTTGATTTTTGTCAGTATTTAAAGCAAAACCTGTTAAAAAAAAAAGCAAAGTGGAACACAAACACCAATGTTTTCCCCCTGATTTAAATGGGTCTGGAATCTTCCATTTGCTATATATGCTGAATGAAGCTTTTCTATTCACAAGCTGTTCGGTGTGACACACAACTGGGACGTTCATTCATTCATAGTTTCTCAAAAGGCAACAGTCTTTTTTATAAACCCTCTCAATCACATGGCTGCATGCTAGAATGCAGTTAGGTGTTTAGTCTTTGTTTTGCAAATTCTGTCTTGAGTTATTTGAGAAATTTACCTAATATTAAAACAATACAAATATACAAGTCAAGTTGAGCTTTATTGTCATTCTGCTACATGTGGGGACATACAGTGGAACGAAATGCAGTGCCTCACAGAACCACGGTGCTACATAAATACAAACATACAACAATGACATAAAACAGTATAAACCTAAACACAGCTAACCTATATACTATATATAAATAATCACCTATACATAAACTAGAGAATACAAACTGTACAAGTGGTTATAGAAATGAATCTGTACAGTGAACCACAGTGCTACATAAATACAGACATACAACAATGACGTAAAACAGTATAACCCTAAACACAGCTAACCTACTATATTATATAAATAAGTACCTATACATAAACTAGAGAATACAAACTGTACAGTGGTTATAGAAATGAATCACACCCCTTTAAAATAATCACATTTTGCTGCTTTGCAGTCTGATGGACACAGTTTTTGTTTTATCCAGCTGTATTTACTCAGTGCAACTTATAATATCCAAGTGAAAGACATAACACCATGTCAGAAAAAAATAAAAATAAAATAAAATAAAAACAGAATCACTGATTTGGAAAAAGGACACTGATTGTGTCAGTATTTTGTTGAACCACCTTTTGCTTTCATTCCAGCCTTTATTCTGTTGGGATATGTCTCTACTAACTTTGCACATCTAGACTTTGCAATATTTGCCCACTCTTCTTTGCAGAACTGCTCAAGTTCAGTTAAATTCATCGGTGACCATTTGTGGACTGCAGTCTTCAAGTCATTCCACAGATGGGGTTTAATGGGAGTCATTTCAATGGAGTTTAAGTTTGGGTTCTGACTAGGCCATGCAAGAACATTCACCTGTTTCTCCTTCAACCACTGTGTGGTCAGTTTTGCTGTGTGCTTTGGCCCATTGTCATGTTGGAAGGTAAACCTTCTTTCCATTGACAACTTTCTGGCAGAGGGAAGCAGATTTTCCTCAAAAATTTGATGGTATTTTGCCTCATCTAATTTTCCTTCTATCCTGACAAGTGAAACACCCCCATAACAGGATATCACCAACTCCATGCTTTACTGTAGGAATGGTGTTAGTTGGATGGTGAGCTGTATTGGATTTCCGCCAAACATATTGTTTGGAGTTGAGGCCAAATAATGAGGCCCCCCTCATACAAGCCACATTTGTGGAGAATTTGTGATATTGTTGTCACATGCACACAATGACTACTCTTTGTCATAAATTCCTGCAACTGCTTCAGAGTTGCTGTAGGCCTCTTGGTAGGCTCTCTGACCAGTTTCCTCTTGGCTCTTTCATCCAGTTTGGAGCAACTTCCTGATCCAGGGAGGGTCTGTGTTGTACCAAATACCTTCCACTTCTTAATAATAGACTTCACTGTGCTTCTACCCTTACCAAAAAGTAGTATACTTCAAGTTGATTTTATTAAGTATTCTTAAGTAAAGTTCAAGTATATATTTAAGTATACTTTATGTAGTAAGTATACAAATATCAGTGTACTAGTAGTATACTTCAATACTCCTTGGGACTAAATTGGCCCACTTTCTAGTATATAAAAGTATACTTTTAAATATACTTTAAGTATAACAGTAGTAAACTTTGAGTACACAACTAGTTTACATCAATGTTGTAGCTTGTACTGCAACTATACTAAAAGTGAACTTATAGGTATACTGATAGTTTACTAATTAAATACTTGTAGTACACTTTGAAGTATAATCTCAGTAAACTACTAGTTTAGTAGTTTTATACTGCAAGTATACTCGTAAGTATACTTATAGTAAGTACAGACAGGAAGTAAACTTACGAGTATACTTGCAGTATAAAACTACTAAACTAGTAGTTTACTGAGACTATACTTCAAAGTGTACTACAAGTATTTAATTAGTAAACTATCAGTATACCTATAAGTTCACTTTTAGTATAGTTGCA